GTGGGAGACTAGTTTGTGTTCTTTTTGTGTTGGAGTTGGTTTTTCTTTTACAAAGCAAGATACACTAGAGAAATGCTTATGGTAGAATGAATGACCCAAGTCTATGGCAGGCCAAAAAGACAAATAGTTCTACCACACGAAATTGGGTAGCATCTTAAAGGATAAGCCAGGTAGAGAAAGCGGGTGGGACAGTTCCTGACAGAAGAAACATATACACCCAAGACATAAACACATTGTGTGTTTCAGGAATAATAAGTAGTACAGTGTGACAGTGTACAGTACCTGCCAGGGAGTATAGTGTACATAAATCTGGAAAGATAGAGTTGAGGCTACCTCAGCCATACTTCTTATACCAAATCAAGAAGTTGGGGCTTTTCTTTTCCTTTTCTTAAATTAGGTCTGGAAAGTCACTGAGGAAATCCCTTTAAACAGGGGGATGGCATGACTACATTTTTACTTCAGATCAGTATGACATCACTAAAGGAGCTCTGCCCAATAGAGACACAATGCAAACTACAAATGCAAGCTACGTAGTATTTTAAGTGTTCTACTATTCACACTAAAAAAGTGAAAAGAAACAGGTGAGATTAATTTTAATTATATATTTTACTAAACCCAGTATATCCAAAATATTGTTTCAATAACTAATCAGTATAAACAAATATCATTGAGGTGTTTTACTTTTTGTATGCTAAATCTGTGTAATCCATTGTATATTTTACATTTACAGCCATCTCAATTCAGACTGTTTATAGCCACATGTAGCTTGTGACGACCTTACTAGAGACACTGCAGCTTTTGAGCACACACTATAGAAGATGAATGGTAATAAGAATGAGATGAGAAATGAGAGGAGGAGTCTTTTGGGTTAGTCCCAGTGAAAAATGATGAGGGCCTGAACAAAAATAGTGGTGGGAGTGATGAGGACAAGTAAACAGAGCTTTTAAAAGAGTGGCATCATACTCTGTTGTCTGTAACATTTTTCCCTGAGCATTTGGTTTCTATGATTCATCTATGTTGAAGTGAGCAGCTGTAGTTCATATATCTTTGTTGCTATATAACTTCCCATTGGAAGTGTATACTACCATATTTTATTCATTTTCCTATTGCTTCCCCTTTCCCCATATTTTGATATTATAAACAATGTCACATAAACATTCTTAGGCATGTGCTGTAGTACACATGAGCAAATTTCTTTTAGATCTAAGTAGACACTAATCTGTTGTGACATTATTGCAAATACCTTTACCTAGTTTGTAACTTGTTTTACGTTCAAAAGCTGACTTTTGATGTAAAAAAAAAAATGCTTTCTGTAATTGGGTTTATCAAACTTTAACCATAATGTTTTGTTTTCTTTTGTTTAATCTTAAGAGATTCTTTCCTTCTCTGTGGTCACAGATATTTTATATTGTCTTTAAAAATTTTAAAGACTTTACATTTAAGTATCTAGTCCATCGGGATCATTTATTGAACAGTCCTTCTTTGCGTTAAATATCTATTGCTACATAGCAAATTACCTCACACTTAGCATTTAAAATAATAGACATTTATCTCACCATTTCTGTGGGTCAGTAATATAGGAGCAGCTTAGTTGAGTGGTTCTGGCTCAGCGTCTCCCATGAGGTTGCAGTCAAAGTCCTGCACTCCTTTCCTCAGTGATCTGTCTGCAGTGCCAGCTCTGTTAGATATAATTTGTCCATGCACACAAGTCTGTTTCTGACCTCTCCTGTTCCATTGGTTTAATTTGTATGTTTCTTTTTTTTTCTAATCCTAAGTGTGAGCACATGCCCCTGACTTATTTCCTGACCTTCTGTTTTCACTCTGTGTATGTATGCTCAGTTACGCCCAGAGAGTAATCATTCTTCTATCTTTACCTAGTAACTTTTAACTGAAGACTCCCAACTGTGTGCTGGACATTACCTCAGACTGTTTATATCTATAACCAGATTCCATTTCTTATATTTCTTCTTCTTGAGGGGGGTGGGAATCCCTTGATAGGTATATAACATGATTATGGCTGGATTCAAGGCCCTGGACCCATGGAAGGCATTATACCTCTGTTTAACAGAATAGGCTTTGATATCAGATCTGCACTGAATGAATTTGCTGGACATCTGTGACCTTGAGCAAAGCAAAGTCCCTGCCCTCTTTGAATTTACAAATTCAAAGAGGAAAAACAGACAAATAATTTTAAGTACTTTCAGGCAGTGGTAGTTACAATGAAGGAAAAATAGAGCAGCATAAAAGTAATAGGCAGTATGGAGTTGGGGACATTTATTTAATAAAGTGTGGTTAGGAAAAGGCCTCTCTGACAAGGTCATATCGTAAGAGTGAGCTGTGAAGTAGGAAGTGAACCATGTACTGTAGTCCCCCCTTATCTGCCAGGAATATGGTCAAAGACCCCCAGTGGATGGATGCCTGAAAGCATGGATAGCATCAAACCTTACATATGGTATGTTTTCTTATATGTACATATCTATAATAAGGTTTAATTTATAAATTAGGCACAGATAAGGTATTTTTTTCTTATACATACTTACCTTTGATAAGGTTTAATTTATAAGTTAGGCATAGTAAGAGATTAACAACTATAGAACAGTTACAACAATATGCTATAATGAAAGTTATGTGAATGTGGTCTCTCTCAAAATGTATTATTGGACTGTACTCACCATTTTCTTGTAATGATGTGAGACGCACTGTATATGTGAGAAATGAAATGAGGTGAGAAATGAAGTGAGGTGAAAGACGTAGTCATTGTGATGTGTAATCTGAGGCTATTGATCTTCTGACCATGTGTTACAAGTACTTTAAGGATTCTTTTCAACATTCAGATTGCCAGCATCACCACTCTTGAGCTTTGGGGCCATTGTTAACTAAAATAAGTGTTACTTGAACACTGTCTTACTGTAATACCAGAATCTGAAAACCAGTTAGGCTAATAGGTGACCCATGGATAGGTAGCAGATACAGTGAGGATACCCTGAACAGAGAGAATTATGCACATCCCAGGCAGAGTGTGATGGCACGAGATTTCATCACAGTACTTAGAATGGCATGTAATTTAAAAGGTATGAATTGTTTATTTATGGAATTTTCCATGTAATATTTTCTGACTGCATTTGGCAACAGGTAAGGGTGGGCTCCAGACAGAGAGAATAGCCATTACAAAGGCTCTGGAGGAAGAGTTTATCCTACATCTTTAAGGAATAGTAAGAAGACCATTTTATATAAAGAGGTTTGGCAGGGGAAAGGTAGCAACACAAGGTCAGAAATATTAAGGGAGGAATGGGTCTTGTAGACGATTTTTGAACTTTGTTTTTTATTCAGAGACAACTCAGAAGGTATTGGAGAGTTTTGAGCAGAGGGTAAGATTTTGTGTCTTATATTTTAAAAAATTACTCTGGCTGATATATTGATAATAGACGGAAGCAGTGGCAAGAACAGAAGCAGGATCAATTTAGAAGGCTTTTAATGTATAATTTAGGCAAGAGGCAATAGTGGTTGAGAACAGGATGTTGTGATGGTGGTGGTAAGAAGTGATCTGATTCCATATATATATATATTTGGTTTTGTTTGTTTTTGTTTTTAATCCTCACCCAAGGAGCCCTGACTGGTATGGCTCAGTTGGTTGGATGTCTGTCCTGCAAAGTGACAGGTAATTGGTTTGATTCCCGGTCAGGGCGCATGCCTGGGTTGCAGGTTTAGCCCCTAGTTGGGGCATGTACTAGAGGCAGCTGATTGATGTTTCTCTCACATTGATGTTTTCCTCCCCCTTTCTCCCTCCCTTCCCCTCCTTCTAAAAATAAATAAGAACTTTTTTTAAAAACCCTCACCCAAAGATATGTTTTACTGATATTAGAGAGGGTGGGGGAGAGAAAAGCATTGATCAGTTGCCTCGCATAGGCACCCCAACCCATAATCAAACCTGCAACCTAGGTATGTGCCCTGACCAGGAATCGAGTTCACAACCTTTTGGTGTACATGATGATACTCCAACCAACTGAGCCACCCAGCTGGAGCCCAAGTATATTTTCAAATAGAACCATCAGCATTTGCTGAAAGATTGATATCTTGGTCACTATATCATATCTGGGTTTCTTGTGGTGTGTTTTGTTTTTTGTTTTGTAGAAAATTTAGAAGATACAATAGAAAAAGGAATTATCTTTTAGCTTCTGTTCAGAAGTTACCACTGTTAAAATTTTGATACATAACCTTTCTAGTTTTTGTTGCGTGTAAATGCAGAGATGTGGACACACACAATGCATTGTTTAAACAAACTTTATATGTAATGAACATTTTTCTGTATCTTTAGCTATTTGCTAACATGTTAATGACTACAATGTTTCATTGTATGAGTGAATTATAATTTATCTGGTTCCCTGTCAACATTTAGAATGCTTTCAATTTTTTTATGTTATGGATGGCATTTGAGAGAGCATCATTACTTGTGTGTGTGTGTGTGTGTGTGTGTGTGTGTGTGTGTGTGTGTGTGTGTCATGATTACAGAAACAAATCTCCAGCTGCTTTTTGAGATATGGGATACCCACAATGAGACCTCATATGCTCATGAAATAGCATCCCTTTTTGGCATACAGTCTCTTGGTTTTATAGCTGCCTTTTTATTATAAATAAAAATATCTCCAATTTATTCATTTTGATTTTGATACTAATAAGACTTCCTCTGAATTTTATACTAATATTTAGTAGGTACATGTGGTGTGGGAGCAAATGAATTTTTATGTGGGCTGGTATACTAATTTCTATATTAATTCAGGGGATGATAAAATCACATTTGTTGAGAGTTGCAAGTAAATTTTTAAATATTTTTACCATCTACCTTTGCATTTATATTAAGAATTTCTGTATTTTCTGTAATATGTATTCTATAATGTTAGTGAGCCAGTTTTTAATAATAATTTAAGTTTTAATGACCCATGTTTTGGGTGTAATAATGCTTCTTCTCCCCCCCCCCCTTTCATTTGTCTTACTTTGATTAGATTTCTGCTATCTTTGCTTTTGCCACCTGTGGAGGTTATAAGGGCAAAACAGAAATTCTAGTGAAATGTCCTAAAGATCCTGAGAATAAAACAGTTACAGCTACTTTTGCTTATCCATTCAGGTGAGTTGTTTGTTTGTTTGTATGGTTTAACAACTCTTTACATTCATATTGACTCATTAAGATTTCCAGCAATTAATCTTGGGGATAGAAAGTTTTAAATTGCATTCTCATTTGTAAATAGTGATCATTGCTACTCAAACTCTGTGGTACATAGACCAGTGCCTGTCTGTAAACTATTTTCCTGGTCTATGGTGAAATAAGTATAGAAAACAGGAGTAAGCATTTAGAAACTATTATTTGAAGTTTTTATTCTATCATTCCACAGCAGACTAGAAGTGAAAAAACGAAACAGAAACTGCCCTATCTCCATAGTGTGAAAAACCATGATGTGAAAGCAAACACAGCTTACAAAAACTCCAGATTTCTCATGTGTTTGCCACTCCCAAATAATAGTGTTCTTGATGTAGTTTTAGGACATAGATTTATTTATGTGAAGTGACTTCTTTTGCTTCTTTTACTAGCATAAAACTTTATTTTCTTACTCTCAAATTAAACTGAATATTGTGTTTTTGTGAATTCTTCTGTTTGACTTTAGTATTCATTGAACAGTTTATTGATTATGTCCTGTGTTTAATTAAGCCAGGGTATAAAGCTTCCTTCACTTACAAACTACTTCCTGGACCTTCTAGGACTCAATTTTTCTGTCCAATATATTGAAAATTACCTTTTAAGGTTTTTTTGATGATTAAATGAAATCTTACATTAAAGATATGTTAGTAAATGCTTAGTATTATTGCCTCTCCATTTCCCAACCCTTCTCTTATAAACTTCCTATACAAGGAACTGTTACTGCATCTTTAGCAATAAGTGCTCTTGTGATTTATAGATAGGGAAAATGAAAAGACAGTGTGAAGTTAGTGAGTAATTAAATCCAGGGTTAAAATGTGAATTATTATAATTGGCTCTCATGACTCATTGGCTAGTCATATAGACACTGTCTTCTAGAATATCATGTCTCAAATTGTAAATTATTTTGTATTAGCCCTCTTAATCTGCTAAAATTTTATTGCAGGAAGATAGCATCTGGGTTTGTATAAGTATTTAAATTCTGTCTGTATTCAACCTATCACAAATCAATTACCAGGTATAATTTATAATTTATGTATGATTTATGAACATTTCAATTTACTTAAATATTTTAATTTTTTTTCAAAAGGAAAATGTTTTTGATACACAGGGTGGGACAAAAGTAGGTTTACAGTTGTGAGTACATGAAACACAGTTTATTCTTGTATTGTTGTTTATTAATTATTGTATTATTTTCCATGAAAACAACTGGAGACCTCCCTTTGCCCCACCCTGTATTAGGGGAGTACTTTTTGAAATATCATTTCAATACTGTGTCTGCATATTTCTATCTGTGTTGGGAAAGTCCAGGTAATTCATAAACTTATTTGAACCTTTTTAATAGGTTGAATCAAGCATCATTTCAGGCACCTTCAAGGGTAAATGTGTGTGATATAGATTGGAAAAATTATGTCCTTCTTGGAGATTACTCTTCTTCTGCACAGTTCTATGTTACGTTCGCAGTCTTTATTTTCCTGTACTGCATTGCTGCTCTTCTGGTCTATGTTGGTTACATAAACATGTATCGGGATAATCGAAAACTTCCTATGATTGTAAGTAATTACTTTCTCTTTATACAAAAGTAATTTGTATAAGATAAATATACATTATACTTGAAGTAAATTCAGATGTCCGTACGCTGGAAATAAAAATTCTTGGCATAAACTAGTTCAACATATTTTGACCTATTTGCCCTCAGCTTTCTCCTATTGTCATGTTTAAGTCAATTTTTTTTTAGTATGTTTGCAGTGCTTTTTCTGTACTTCTGGTCTAAATTTCTTAATTTAAAATGTGATCCAGATAATTCTCTAAGAATTATAGAATTCAGCATTAGTGGCATTCATGAGCTAATTTGGAGACTAGATGGTTTTCACTTGGGGAAAATTCAAATATGTGATAGAGCATACTAAGTTGTAAGCAGCAGAGAAAATAAGTAGAATTGCTATCCATACTAGTAGTCTCATAACTGTGTTACTAATTCTACTTTTTTTCTCTCTTCTCAAAGACCCACATTATGCCTCTACAATGTCTTATTGAGGTTAATAGTTAGGAATTCAGCAGACTACTGCCCACAAGTCAAATCTAATTCATTTTTGTTATTGTTTTAATATTTTATTTATTGATTTTAGAAGGGGGTGGGGCGGGGAGAGACATCGATTTCTTGTTCCACTTATTTATGTATTCATTGGTTGATTCTTGTGTGTATCCTGACTGGGGACTGAATTTGCAGCCTTGACATATTGGGAAGATGCTCTAAGCAACTGAGCTATCCAACAAGGTCCTAATGTTTTTGCTTTTTTTTTTTTTAATGTTTTTTTTTTTGGAACACAGCCACATTCCATCATTTACATACTGTCTATGATTGCTTTCATGCTACAGTGGCAAAGTTAGGTAGTTGTAATACAGCTCAAAAGTATTCACTGTCTGGCATTTTTTCAGGAAAAGTTTGCTGACTCCTGGTCTAAATTTCTTAATTGAAAACCTGATCCAAATAATTCTATAAGAATTATAGAATTTGTCATTAGTGGCATTCATGAGCTAATTTGGAGACTTTAGATGGCAACAAGGATTTGGATTTGAAGTCCTAGCACCTTTCTTGGCTTCAAATAATCTCTAATATTTAGTTGGTAGAATCTTCCCTGGATTATTGGTTGAGGATTATTATTGAGAAGTAATCTATGGGTTTAAGCCTGACCTCCACTACAGGAAAATAAGTACAAAGGCAGTTTTAGGGTTACTGACTTGAAAGGAGAACAGAGGTGTTACTGGTCATCTCTAGTTATTTATGAAGCAAATTATCAAACAAGATAACAGGTTTTATTTATTTACTTATTTTTTAATTTTTGCTGCCTGGATCATAAGAGTACAAATGGTAAGTAAGGAGTTAAACAATCTTTTTTCATCCATATTTATTTTATTTCTTATGTCTGAGAAGAGATTCTTAAACCTAATGCTTTCATAAAATATCTCTTGGTTGTTAAGTGCCTTTCAAAAAAATTAGGCATTACCTATTTGCAATGCTTAATCAACAAAAATTATATATTAGGAATCTCTAACTTCTGGACTTTAAAGCCTTATCTAAAAAGAAACTATGATGATCAGGTATTTTGTTAAAATTCTTTATAACTTAAATTCTAAATGAAGACATTTCTTGCCTTGTGTCATTATCTCAACAAATTTTAAGTTAAATTAAAATTTACAGCTTCTAAATTAAATTTTGAATTCTCATTTTAATTTAAACATATAAATGTAAAAAGTTTTCTTGAGATACCCAAATTTTTAAATATAGCTAAATATGACATTTATTTTAAAGTACTGTTTGTTAATGAGGATATACGTTTTTAGCAGAGTTCTCAATCTTCTGCTAAGGTGTTTCTAAGACCTTTTCAATTATGATATTTTAAATCAACTTTAGTTCCCTTTTTAAGTAAATATAGTACTTTTCTGTGTTAAGTAGCAGGGGCTTAAGGGCTCTAGGCCATATGAGAATCAGAAATACAGTAAAACAAAATCAAACGAAGATAAGTTGTCTCAAATCCTAAAACTCACTTATTAATCATATCCTTGGTTATTGGTGGAGCAGGGCTGCCACAGGCAGCTGCAGATTGTAAACTGCGGAACTCCAGGAATGCATCTTAACTAGAGTTATAAGTAGGACAAAGGCTATCTTCAGAGCCCCACATTCCCGCCCCCCCCACCCACCCTAGGGTTACTTTGTGCATCATTTTGAGAAAAGTTTTTGAAGTCTGAGAATGTCATGCCTTAAGCCATCAGCAAAGTAGGTTTAAAGAGAAGAATCATGATGGGGAAAAAAAAGGCATATTTTAAATTACGAATTTGGAAGGAAGAAACCTGAAAATCAAGATGATTTGATATATATTAGTCAAAGCTGTGGACTTTAGTTCAGAGATACCGTTTTTAACATATAGTAACCTCATATACATTATTTATCAATTCTCCAAAAGTCATTGTATTTCTAGCAAGTGTTTAAGGCAGTGTCTACCTGCCGCAAAAGTACAGTAGCAAAAAGGAAAGGATTTCCTTGTTGCAAAAATTTAAGCTGTAGTGTTTCTGTCCTTCTCTTTTTTTTTTTTTAAGATTTTATTTATTTATTTATTTATTTTTTAAGAGAGGCAAGGGAAGGGAGATAGATAGAGAGAGAGAGAGAGAAACATCAATGTGCGGTTGCTGGGGGTTCTGGCCTGCAACCCAGGAATGTACCCTGGCTGGGAATCGAACCTGGGACACTTTGGTTCCCAGCCCGCGCTCAATCCACTGAGCTACGCCAGCCAGGCTGTCCTTCTCTTTTTGATCTGCATTTTTAAGAAGTCCAGTAACAGTGGAGAGTTCAAATGCAAAATGCAAATACCTTCCATGTTTGTAATTAATCATATTGTTTTTGGTTGTCTAACCACAAGATTTTTATTCAATGTCTTGGCCAGGTAGACAAGCTATATATGTAACACAGTTTCTATATCTCATAAGTGGTCATTGGTGTTTATCCTAAATAAATAACTAAGAGCTGGCTGGCAAAAGTAGTTAAAAACTAATCAGACTCATTTTAAGAACAAAACACTTCTGCAATAAGCTCTAGAACCCATTCCTGAGCTTGGAGAGTGTTTTGCTGCAGTTGTATACAAACTCATAGCCTTGAGTGTAGAAATATTAAAAGATAAAAATTTTACATTATTCCCACTTTGATCATTAAAGGAAGACCAAACAAGGTGGAACGTATACTTTATAACAAATGCATATTTTAAAAAGTGGCTTTTAGATCTTTGTAACAATACTAGTTGACAAAATTCTAGTTTTCCAACAGAATAGATTAAAAATAACTTTTTTCTTTGTTCATGTTAGTAAAATTAAAAACTATCCAAAATGTTAAAAAGCTTCGGTCTTATTTTTAGAAATGTAAGAAGTAGCAAAGACTTCAGTAGAAAATTACTAGGGTAAGGTATTTTCAGAGAGATTTCTTTCTTGTTCTTTTCTTATTATAATGAGCATTCTTAAAATTTTGTGGTCATGAATTCAAACAGACAAGCCTTCTGGATATGTGCTTTTCACCATTTCATTGTATGTATCACAGAGAATTAAATTTAACTGAAGTTAGTTTTGCCAGAACAATCTGAAAAAGCAGGAGAAAGGTAAGGGAGCAAAGAGTATATGCAAGGGATGTAAGGGAGGACCTTAGAATAGAATATAAGTTAAAGAGAGAAATGAGAGCTTATGTGAAGTTGAGAGACAGTGAATAAGTGGTAAGATCAGATTGTAGGTCTTGATGGGGTCAAGAGGTACTTGTGAGGTTGGGGTGCCAGAGGGAGGGAGTGGGAAAGAGGAGTGAGGTTACTGAAGTAGAGATTACGTGAGGGACAGTTATTGGTGATGGCAGGGTCCTAAAGTATGAGCATGGGAGTGAGTGGTTCATGTATGGTTGTGTAAGGGCTATGTGAAACCTTGATTTCTAATGTAAATATCTTTTACTCCTAAAGCGATGATTGAGTCTTATTTAATGTTGCAGCTCAGGATTCAGCTAGTGATAATACACAGCAATGTTTATGATGTTGACTATGCCCTTTTCTATAAAGTATATCATGAAGACCATTTCTCAGTACCATGGGATTCAATGTAACTTCATTTCCTTCGTTATAGATTTAGATTTAGTATTTTTAAATTAACTGTTCATTATTAATTCACACTTCTTTTTACTTTAGGACTTTGTTGTTACTCTTGTTGCCACTTTCTTGTGGCTGGTGAGCACTTCAGCCTGGGCTAAAGCTCTTACAGATATTAAAATAGCTACTGGTCACAATATTGTCCAGGAACTCAAACCCTGTCAAAAAGTGACGTGTTATTTTGGCTCTGTGACTAGCATGGGATCCCTAAATGTATCTGTGGTATGTATGCAGTATTTATAAAATATTTTATTTTACTTATTTGAAAAACCTTACTAGTAATTTAAGAAAATAACAGCTTTTAATGATTTCTGGGTGTGTTGGGTTTTATTTTTACTAAGCAGTCAGAATCCTGGTCACTATATAGTCTTCGTAACAATGAAGAAAAGTCTTTTAAAATTAGGAAACAGGTTTGAATAAGATCATAATTGAGTCTTTCTTTTCGTTGAAATTGACTAGATAATACTTTTACCTGAAAGGTACTCTATGCTGGTATTACACTAAGAACATTAGACTCGTATGTTAAATTATCTAGCAGTCCTAAGAGGAATGTGGGAGGTGGTGTTATTGTCTTCATTTTTACAGCTGGGAAACAAATGTAGCTCATATTACTTCATCCAAGCAGACACAACTAGTAAGTTGGCAAGCCAAGGTTTGAACCACATCTGACTTGAGAGCTCGTTCTCTAATTGGACTCGCTCTGAGTCTATGAAAGTAATATTTTTATGGTTTCCTAAATGACCTAAAAAGTTAGTTCTATAAAAATGTATATATTCTTTAGTCCTCTATTCTACCAAAACACAGATAAATATATTATTAAATATAATATTTAAAGGAGAGACTATATTATATTTAGGGAGGTCTCATGTCTTTTCCAGAAAGTCTTGGGTAAAATCAGCACTGCCTTATAAACCAATTTAGCCAAATTTTTGCTTTATAACTTTGTAATTGAAAAGTCACTTTTTAAAAATTTATTGATAATATCTGAGATGGACAATTACAGAAATTTTCTGTATACAAATATGCAAAGAGATAATAAAACATTTGGTCTTCAGAAGGCCAGCTAGATAATAGTTTAAAGCTTCTTATCCCACTCTTCATTTTTTTAAAATAAATATAAGAATATATTACATTTCTTATATTTAGAAAAAACTGTGAAAATAAGGTAGCTTCAGTTTATTCATCTCTGAGACTTGCATCTTGTCAGATTTATAGCTGGGAGGACTAATTTCTTTTAGGTTGACTAATGTGAGATGTGAAATAAAGTTCTTCTGACTCCTTTTCTCTTCTGGCTGCAGTTGTTGGAGTAGAAAGGATGGTAGGTAATAGGTGGGTAAAGTGGGGAAATAGGAAATATAAAACCACTAGTCATGGTTTTATATGTTACAGATTTAGAGATTTAGCTTTATTTCATTAGGAATAAGTCATTATATATCTGAATTTGATATTGAAATGTAAAGTCTTCCCTTTTTATTCCACTTCATATGTAGTTTAAACTTTAAATGAAGTAATGGCATAATGCCTGGAAATGTTAAATATTTAAAGGAAAACTAAGATGGCTATGATTTTTAAGAAGATATTAGACCTTAATGTTTATTGTTCTCTTTCTTAGATTTTCGGCTTTCTGAATATGATACTTTGGGGAGGAAATGCATGGTTTGTGTACAAGGAGACAAGCTTACACAGTCCATCAAATACTTCTGCTTCCCACAACCAAGGAGGTATTCCACCTCCTTCCGGAATATAATTACAGGGAGAAGTACACTGTATGAAATGTACATCTATACTATGACCTGTTGCCAACATCTTGAGACACATTATTTGTTTCTAATAAAAGTAATGACTTTTTCAATAAATTGGTGGGTTTAAAATTTTGCTGCTTTTTTTACATAAAGCCTGTGCCTTTCCTAGAAATTTAAGATGTAAATGTATTCTCACCTGTAAATTTGAAAATTCAGGGGCCTATTATGAAGTGATACATTTTTAAATGAACATTAATTTCTTCACTAGGTTGTTTACACCTTAAGCCTTGAAGTATATGTTCATTCAGAAAAGAGTTATATTATCATATTATAATAGGAAGAAAATCTCTATTTGGAATATACACTACTGTCAGTTTGTATAGATCATATAGCTATGACCTATCTGGTTAAGAAACTCTTGATTACATAAATCATATTTAGAAATAAACATTTAGTTCAGAATTTCAGAATTTATATCTGAACATTGTTTATGTGTTATGAAAGCTTTTAATTGCAGAGACTGTGTATGTATTTTACTTCTGTTTTTCTAAGTGACCTTCAGTACTTTATAGGTATGCTAAAGTGTTTTGGGAGTGGGGGTTGAAAATTTCTAATAGATTTATAGTTAATTTAGTAATTCTGTCACATGAGATGTAAGCTTCCATTATGCTGCATGTTTAATATAATAGACTTGCTTTATAAGAAGAAATAACATGGTTCAACAAGATACTTTGATATGTACGGGCATTATTCTTAGTGATGTTTGTTTGCTGTCCTTGGTTACTCATACCACTTAAGTGCAGGATGAGACCTGTTCTCCTTGAAAGCAGGGTAAAATAACCCACTTCTTTTTGCAGACCCTACTCATAAGTTTAAAAAATTAAGATTGCCTTTTACTTTTGGAACATTTTGACACTTAGTTTCAATGAAGTTGCTATTTTGAATTTAGCATTGATATTGTGAAAATAAATGCAACTCAGATTTCATGTTTCTTAATGTTCATTCTGATTTCTCAAATGGATGATTAAGGAATTGTGCATCATAAACAAGAACCTTTGATATTTTTTAATCTAATCGCTGTTGAGGTTGGTGATTTTTCTTTGTATTTATTGGCTACTTAGGTTTATCCTATACCTGCTCATCTTCATAGTTTGTGCTTTTCGTGTCTTTAGGTATATTCTGAATTCAGGGCTTATTCACATTCTGCTTCTTAATCTTTTTGTTGTACAGGGCCAGATTTCCTATTCTGACCACTTGATTGTTTATTTGTGAAGCACATCTTGCTATTGCCTTATTTTTGTTGATTTTATTCATGACAAGAATTGTCAGTATGAGTATATATCTTTTATGCAACCAACTTAATAAAGAAGTTAAAAGAAAGAGTGCACTGATTGTTATATTACAAAGAAACTTTCATCTTAAAGGTATGAGCAATGCAAAATGGGATTAATTTCCAAAGCAAGAAATAGAATATCACACTAGTTTTTAAAAATACTTAGCAAGGATCGCTTCTTGGCCTTTTGGCTAAGATCAAGTATAAAAATATTTAGCAAGGAATAAAGAGACAAAAAGTACTTTGGAGACCCTGGTTGTATCCTTTTTCTTTTAATCTCATCTTAAACATGTATGTTTATAACTTTCAGGTTAAGTTTTCTTTATAAGCCTTTTCTCATTGACTGTTCATTCAGTTAGGCACAGAACTTCTTGATTGTGTGTACTAGGGAGCAAAACTGAAATTTAATCTTGGCTTCACCATGTTCTATCTAATTAACTTAGGGCAAATTACTTACCTTCTGTGTGCCTCAATTTGCTCATTTCAAAAATGGGAAAAAGGCCCTGGGTGGTGTGGCTTAGTGGATTGAGCGCCAGCCTGTGAACCAAAGGGTTGCAGGTTTGATTCCTAGTCAGGGCACATGCCTGGAGTGTAGGCCGGGTTCTGGGTGGGGGGGTGCACCAGAGGCAACCACACATTGATGTTTATGTCCCTCTCTTTCTCCCTCCCTTCCCCTCTGTCTAAAAATAAAATCTTTTTTAAAAATGGGAATAAGAATATTGCTAACCTAAGAGTATTTGAAGATGAAGTGAGTTAATAAACATAAAATCCCTAGAAACTGTTTTGAGCATATAGCAGGTTGCTTATAAGTGTTGAGTAGGATTAGTAAGTTGATAGCATCTAGTATACAGGCTCTTAACCTGGAGTCCATTGGGCTGGACAGGGGAAGGGTAGTAGTAGTCTTGGACAGAAAGGCAAAATAAGCTTAAGAATTACATGGGTCTCCATTTATATTCCCCAAAGAGTCTGGGATATTTTGGTGTTTATTTTGGTATTTTTCTGTTTGTGATAGATACACATAAAGTTCATGAGGTTAAAAGTTAAACTAGCCCTGACTGGTGTGGCTCAGTTGGGCATTGTCTCGTGCACCATGAAAGTCTCTTGTTCAATCTGGTCAGGGCACACACCTAAATTACAGGTTCAGTCCCTGGTTGGGACACATCAGTGTTTCTCTACTGCCCTTCCTTCCTCTCTTCCCCTCTCTCTAAAAGTAAATTTAAAAAAATTTTTAAGTTAACTACCATTGAGATTACAGTAGGTCTAGAACAGAGTCCATTTTGTCGCCTTTCGCTCTCTCATTTTGAGTCAACATTACAGGATTAAGCAATTTCAGGATAATTTTCAGCACAGAACAAAGCAATAAAAGCTTTGAACTTACTAGGTGACAGATTATAAAGAATTGTTTATAAACAGCATCATTAGTAATATCTTTGTGAATTGATGTCAATTGGATAACGATATGTAAGATTACTAACCTATAAATGTTTAAAGACAATATTGCTTGTTATGTACTTAGTGTTACAATTAATTTTTAAATTTATGTAGTATTTCAGATAGGTAAGTATAAAGTCTTACCATAAGGTTGAACAAATAACATTTGGGGTCTTTTTGTGTCAGATTTGCTTTGGTTTTGTCTTTTAAACGAAAAAAACACCGCTACACCCTTTTCCTTACTGAAACATAGAGTTTTCTCACCTTTCACTATTACAAATAGCACTGAAATAAACATTTTTGAGAAATGTGTGAAGATTTCTCTAGGACATCACTGGAAGTACAACTATTGGAATGGAAGATACATTTCACTTGTAATTTGGGTATTACAAAATTGTTCAATAAAGTGCTGATACCAGTTCACTCTCCCACCAACAAGACATGAGTCCCTGTTGCCCCATATCCTTGCCAGTACTTGATGTTATTGCACTGTTGCTAATCATCTGGGCGTGAAATAGTCTTTTGATGTTTTTAAATTTGTATTTCTCTGGTTGCTATTGAGGTTGCTGACCTCTCTCTCTCTCTCTCTCTCTCTCTCTCTGTTTATTGGCCACTTAGATTTCTCTTATTCTGTACTTCCTGTTCATCTTCATGGTTGGTTGTGCTTTTTTTGTCTCAAAAAAATCTTTTTTTATTTTACTCATTGTTCAAACACAGTTTTCTCCTTTTTACTCCCAATCCAGTCCCCCCTCCCACCCTCCCCACTTCCCTCCCATTACCACCCTCCCCTTAGTCTATGACCATGTGTCCTTTAAGTTTGTTCCTGTGAACCCTTCCCACTGTCCACTTAAATTCCCTCTTCTCTCCCCTCCGGTCACCGTCAGCCTGTCCTCTATTTCAGTGTCTTTGGTTATATTTTGCTTGTGTCTTTGTTTTGTTATTTAGGTTCCTGTTAAAGGTGAGATCATATGGTATTTGTCTTTCACTTCCTGGCTTGTTTCACTAAGCATAATGTTTTCCAGCTCCATGCTATTGCAAAGGGTAGGAGCTCCTTCTTTCTTTCTGCTGCATAGTGTAAATGTACCATAGTTTTTTGATCTATTCATTTACTGATGGGCATCTTGGTTGCTTCCAGCGTCTAGCTATTGTAAATTGTGCTGCTATGAACATTGGGATGCATAGGTTCTTTTGAATTGGTGTTTTAGTATTCTTAGGATAGAGTCCCAGCAGTGGAATTGCAGGGTCAAAAGGCAGATCCATTTTTAGTTTTCTGAGGAAGTTCCATACTGCTTTCCATAGTGGTTGTACCAGTCTGCAGTCCCACCAGCAGTGCACTAGTGTCCCCTTTTCTCCACAACCTCTCCAACACTTGTTTGTTGCTTTGTTTATGATGACCATTCTGACAGGTGTGAAGTGGTATCTCATTGTGGTTTTAATTTGCATCTCTCTGATAGCTAGCAATACTGAGCATCGTTTCATGTGTCTTTGGATTTTCTGTATGTCCTCCTTGGAGAAGTGTCTGTTCAAGTCCTTTGCCCACTTTTTAATTGGATTCCTTGTCTTCTTAGAGTGCAGTCTTGTAAGTTCTTTATATATTTTGGAGATTAAACCCTTGTCTGAGATATCATTGGCAAATACGTTTTCCCATACAGTTGGTTCTCTTTTAATTTTGATACTGTTTTCTTTAGCTGTGCAGAAGCTTTTAATTTTGATGAGGTCCCATTTGTTTATTCTTTCCTTTATGTCCCTTCCTGTAGGGGACAAGTCAGTAAAAAAGTTTCTTCATGAAATATCTGAGATTTTCCTACCTACGTTCTCCCTAGGACTTTAATGGTGTCATGTTTTATATTTAAGTCTTTTATCCACCTTGAATTTATTTTTGTATATGGTGTAAGATGGTGCTCAAGTTTCATTTTTTTGCATGTGGCCGTCCAGTTCTCCCAACACCATTTGTTGAAGAGGCTATTTTTATTCCATTTTATGTTGCTGCCTCCTTTGTCAAATATTAATTGACCATAGAGACTTGGGCTTATTTCTGGGCTCTCTGTTCTGTTCCATTGGTCTATGTGCCTGTTTTTATGCCAGTACCAGGCTGTTTTGATTACAGTGGCCTTGTAGTACAGTGTAGTGTCGGGTATTGTGATCCCTCCTACTTTACTCTTCTTTCCCAAAATTGCAGCAGCTATTCTGGGTCGTTTGTAATTCCATATAAATTTTTGAAGAGTTTGTTCTATGTCTGTGAAATACGCCATTGGTACTTTAATAGGAATTGCATTGAATGTGTAAATTGCTTTGGGTAGTATGGACATTTTGATGATATTAATTCTTCCAATCCATGAACACGGTATATGTTTCCATTTGTTTGTGTCTTTCTTGATTTCTTTCTTCAGTGTTGTGTAGTTTTCTGAATACAGGTCTTTTACCTCTTTGGTTACGTTTATTCCTAGATATTTTATTTTTCTTTTTGCTATTTCAAATGGGATTTTTTTCCTTGATCTCTGTTTCTGCTGTTTCATTGTTGGTGTACAGAAATGCCTTTGATTTCTGGATATTGACTTTATATCCCGCTGTTTTGCCAAATTCATTTATTAGGTTAAGCAGTTTTTTGGTAGAGTCTATAGGATTTTCTGTGCATACTATCATGTCATCTGCAAACAGTGACAGTTTTGTTTCCTCCTTTCCGATTTGGATGCCTTTTATTTCTTTTTCTTGTCTGATCGCTGTGGCTAAAACTTCCAGTACTATATTGAATAGAAGTGGTGAAAGTGGACAGCCTTGTCTTGTTCCTGATCTTAGTGGAAAAGATTTTAATTTTTGGCCATTGAGTATGATGTTGGCTGCAGGTCTCTCATATATGGCCTTTATTATGTTGAGGAATGCTCCCTCTATTCCCACTTTGCCGAGTGTTTTTATCATGAATGGGTGCTTTACCTTGTCAAATGCTTTTTCAGCATCAATTGATATGATCATGTGGTTTTTGTCTTTGCTTTTGTTTATGTGATGTATTACATTTACTGACTTGCGAATATTGAACCATCCTTGCATCCCTGGAATGAATCCCACTTCGTCATGGTGTATGATCTTTTTAATGTATTGTTGGATGCGGTTTGCCAGTATTTTGTTGAGGATTTTAGCGTCAATGTTCATCAGTGATATTGGCCTGAAGTTTTCTCTTTGTTGTGTCTTTATTTGGTTTTGGAATTAGGATGATGTTGGCCTCATAAAAAGAGTTGGGGAGACTCCCATCTTTTGGGATTTTTTGGAATAGTCTGTGAAGGATAGGGGTTAGCTCTTCCTTAAATGCTTTGTAGAATTCTCCTGTGAAACCATCTGGTCCCGGGCTTTTGTGTGTTGGGAGTTTTTTGATTACTGCTTCAATTTCTTTTGTTGTTATTGGTCTGTTCAGACTTTCTGCTTCTTTTTTCATTGAGTTTTGGAAAATTATATTTTTCTAGAAAGTTGTCCATTTCACCTAGGTTTTCAAATTTCTTGGCATACAGTTCTTTGTAGTAATTTCTTACAATCCTTTGTATTTCTGTGGTATCTGTTGTAATCTCTCCTCTTTCATTTCTGATTGTGTTTATTTGGGTCTTCTCTTTTTTTTCTTGATGAGTCT